CAGCCTCCCATGCCCCCCCCCCATAATCTCCACTGTAAGCCCCCCATAAATCTCATGGTGTTTTGACAGACACCCCAATATCCTGCAAAGCCGAGCTCTGAAGTGCTCCTGGACTCTGTTTGCCAGACACTGGGAATGGGCGTTGGGGTGTGTCACTTGGGGATTCCCTGTTTGGGTCATTCCCTCTGGAAGACTCCAATCATCTGAAGAAGTGGGCTGTGCCCAGGAAAGCTCATGATACCATCTTCATGTTTTGTTAGTCTATAAAGTGCTACCAGACCATTTGTTTTTTAGATAGTTATAAATACTCAGCTATTACTTTCTCTGTCAACATCAGACACAATGAATTCTGCACAAGCCTCACTCTCACTCCTTGTACACACAGTTCTGGGAGATGATCAGCACAGCCTGGTGGATTCTGGGGAACAAGTGAAGCCCCAGGGACCCTCAACACCAGCACAGGGACGGATGCCAGGGCCAGAGCCCTAGTGGGACATTTCTCACCAAAGCCTCCAGGGCTGGGATGTCTCTGGCTGGCTCTTTCCAATCCAGCAAACAGCCTGTGTTAGCTGCAGGGAGGAGAACAGCTGGTTGTTGCTGAAGGCAAGGCAGAGCCTGAGCTCAGGAAATCAAAACTAATTCTGTTCCCCAGGCCAGGGGAGCCATGGCTGCAGCAAGCCCCATGGAAAGTCTCCGGAAGGAAGCAACGTGTCCCCTCTGTCTGGAGTATTTCACGGACCCGGTGATCACAGCCTGCGGGCACAATTTCTGCCGCGCCTGCCTCAGCCGGTGCTGGGAAGGACCTGGCCCAGCTGCCTCCTGCCCGCAGTGCAGGGACCCTGTGCAGCAGGATGTCCTCCCGCACAACAGGCAGCTGGCAAACATGGTAGAATTAGTCAAACAGCTGAGCCTGCCAGCAGCGCAGGAGCCAGGCGAGGGCGAGGTGTGCGGGACGCACCAGGAGGCGCTGAAGCTGTTCTGTGAGGAGGATCAAGCCCCCATCTGTGTGGTCTGCAGAGAGTCCCGGGCGCACCGCACGCACATGGTGGTTCCTTTAGAGGAGGCTGCCCAGGAGTACAAGGTAGGGAACTGCTGCCCTGTCTGCTGGGGAATTACTCTGGGTCTTAGTCACTGGCTGATTTCCGTGACTCTTCCCTGGCCCAGTACAACTCACTAGTCAACTAAAGCCTCCCTGGCCCAGGCAAAGGCTGTAACAAAATAAATGCTTTGGCGGAGTGAGGAGGGAGCAACAGCGGCAAAATACTAAGTCTTTAAAGACACCTGGCTGTGGGAAAGTTTTCTCTGAGATGCTGAACCCTCTTCCAATGCGGCCCCTGCTGGAGAAATGCAGGAACTTTGCACACAAGGGCAAGGAAGGGGTAACCATGAGGTGTGTGTATCAGAGTTGCCAGCTAGGCTGCGAGACTACAGATGGGGAAGTTACAGTCTTTGGTTTTTAATAGAATGGTGTTTAAGGGAATTGATTATTTGTATTTGTATCACAGTAGCCCTTAGGGACTCTGCACAAACCACAGCGAAGGACAATCCTGCCCCCAACAGGGCACTGCTGCCCAGAACTGTACCAGGGAGTGAGGCAGCAGGTACCTGACCAGATGTCGTTGTCACTGCAGGGGTTTAGGACAGTGCTGGGCAAACCCCCATCATTCCTCATACAAACCTGCATGTCTAATTAGGGGGTCATTGACCCATCCCCAGAGCACAGGACATGCCCATGCCTGTCTGCCAGAACCACCTCCACCTGCATTGGTTGGCGTCTGTGGACCAGTCCCTGTCAGACCATCCCCACCTATGTCATTCTTTATGGAGGTGCCACCCCCCTTACCCCTGCCCTCACAGGTGTCCTGCTGCAACCTCCTGTTCCTTTCTCACCAGACAAAGCCACGGCCAGGGCTGAGTCCCCACCGGGCGGGGACAGAGCCCCACAGAACTGGGACTGTGCAGACAAGGCTTCCTGACATCTCATGGGGTTTGTCCTGGTGCTTAGCTCAGCTCTGTCCAACCATGGCAGTCACCAGTCCTCAGGGCTGAGCTCCCAGACCATTGTTAAACCCAGGTGGCAAATTTATATGAAATCTGGATTTGTTAGTTAAACCTTCTTTACAACAGGTTTATTGATTCACGCCCATGTGATTCCAGTACCCTGTTACATGCTGTGCCACTAGTCCACCTGTGCACACCAATCAAGCTTGGTGATAACTGAGATTTCTGTCTAATTAAAAGGCGCAACCTGAATTGGTAACAGTGAGAATATGACACACACTCACTCTGCATTGACAGGATTTCATCTTCTTGGGGCCCTGATGTCACCAAGCCATTGGGAGTAGCAGTCATCTTGGGCTGTGAGTGGAAAAATGGCCCATTCCACACCCCTCTCATCCCTCACAATGAAACCTCCCAGCTCATTTTTGTTTCCTCAGGAAAAATGCAAGGCCCATTTGAAGACTCTGAGGGAAGAGAGAGAAAAGCTGCTGAGATGGAAAGCGACAGGCGAGGGGAGAAGCAAGGAGTATCTGGTAGGTGCCTCTGGCTATCAGTGGTGTAGCAAGCATGGAGGCAGGGGGATGGGAGGGCAGTTGCCCCGGGTGCCATTCTAGGGGGGAGCACCAGTTTAAACCCCTCTGCTCCCCCCATAATCCCTCAGCTCACCTGCTCCTCCCTCACCTGCCGCCTCCGGCTGGAACCTCCTCCCCATCTCTCTGCCTCCAGCCTGACCCTCCTCCATCTCTGCCCGTGGGTTAGTACGTGCTAGAGCCTGGTCCCGAACTGGCGGGAGAAGAAAAGACGCGGTACAAGCTCCCCAACCCTCCCAGGGTCAGGGTCAGCCATGCACCAGGGGCCTGGCTGTGCAGCGGGTTGTGGGGGGGAGGGAGTACAAATTTTGCCTTTGCCCCCAGGCACACAACACCCTCGCTACACCTCTGGTGGCTATGGACCAGCAGGGTCATGCAGTGTGAGGGCTTTTTGGAGGCAGGCTAACCCCTCTGAGCCCCCCATAATCCCTCAGCTCACCTGCTCCTCCCCCACCTGCCGCCTCCGGCTGGAACCTCCTCCCCATCTCTCTGCCTCCAGCCTGACCCTCCTCCATCTCTGCCCGTGGGTTAGTACGTGCTAGAGCCTGGTCCCGAACTGGCGGGAGAAGAAAAGACGCGGTACAAGCTCCCCAACCCTCCCAGGGTCAGGGTCAGCCATGCACCAGGGGCCTGGCTGTGCAGCGGGTTGTGGGGGGGAGGGAGTACAAATTTTGCCTTTGCCCCCAGGCACACAACACCCTCGCTACACCTCTGGTGGCTATGGACCAGCAGGGTCATGCAGTGTGAGGGCTTTTTGGAGGCAGGCTCTTGTGTGGCCTTGGGAAAGTGGGATAGCGAGTTGCTCCATGACCATGGATTGCTGGACCCATGTGCAAACAGGCCCTGAGCTTCCATGGCAGGGGATGCGTTAATGTCCAGCTCTTGTGGCTTTCCCAGAAATCCTCCCCCAGTGACCTGAATGTCCCTGGGAAGGGCTGTCTGCTGTGTCTGCCTATTTAACATCTTTGTTTTTTCTCCCCCGGCGTCTGTGTCTGGGTGGTGCTGAGTCCTGCCTCCTGCTGCTCTGGGTGTTAATTCCCAGCACCCAGGCGTGTTCCTGGGATGGCTGGGGATGGGGTGAGGATGGGGAGAAGGGGGTAGGAGGGATGGAGGCATGTTCCTGGGATGGCTGGGGATGGGGTGGGGATGGGGAGAAGGGGGGAGGAGGGATGGAGGCAT